CATTTCTACTATCCATTTCCTCTTGTGTACTACACACAGTCATCGCAAGTGAAACGAGCCATGTGCTGTATTCGAGGAAAAAACGACAGGGGAACTAATTAATGAGAAAATAGTCTTCCCCTCGCTCTCTCTTAGATATTTCTTTTTGGAAATAAATAAATAAATAACAAAACCGCGGCCTGCTCTTCACTCTCCCGCCTCATTTCTCATTTTCTCCTACTTCCCCTTGATCTCTCTTTCTCTTCCATGAACACGTACTACCGCTCTCTTACTCTCTCTTATTCTCTTTTCAGTCCGCTCTCTCTCTCTCTCTCTCTCTCTCTCTCTCTCTCTCTCTCTCTCTCTCTCTCCCTCTCTCTCTCTCTCTCCACAGTCTCTCACTCTTTCTCTGTGTTCATAATCTTTTCCTCTTTCTCTGTGTACAGTCTCTGTTTCTTTCTCTTTTCCTCTCTCATACACGTCATCCCGCCTGCTCATGCTCTCTACCAGGTTTCTCACTTCCGCCCCATGAGCAACTCCATGCTAACCCCGTCCTGAATGTACCTGCCCTGTCCTTGGGGTCATGTGCAAAATAAAATAAATGAAATACAACACAGGTTCTCTCTTTCTCACTCACGCACACTCTCCTTCTCCTTCACGCACTCCGTACTCCCCCTTTCTCCCTCTCTCTCTCTCTCTCTTCTCTCTTTCTTCTCTCTTCTTTCTCTMTTCTCTCTCTCAGTSTGTGCCCTCTTTGTTCATTTTCCATATCCCTTCGTCCATAGCCTGACCCCRTGAGCTCGCATTGACAACAGCTGTAATTGAGTTCTGAAGTAATTAGTGCACSRGCACTCGAAGAGCCAACTGTGTGATCAGCAGTTGTATCTGAGTTCAGAAGTAATAAATGAATCCGCACTCCGTGAGCCAGCTGTGTGATCAGCAACTGTTATATTCAGAGGTAATTAGTGGACCAGCACTCGGCAAGCCAGTTGTGTGATTAGCAACTGCTGAATTCAAAGGTAATTACTAATTAGTGTTCCCGCACTSGGCGAGCCAACTGTATTTGCTTTCTCCCACTTTGCTTCCTCCCTCTYTTTCTCATCAGCTAGTTCACTACAGGATCCTCTTTTCCTCTCTCTCACTCTTACCTACTGTCTTTCTCAATGAGTGCATTCCCTCTCTCTCACTGCGCACACTCTCTCTCTTTCTGTGCAGTCTCTCACTCTCTCACTCACTGCACAGTTACTTTCTCTCTCACGCGCAGTCTCTCGCTCCCGYTGTACCTGCTACGTGGGCGGGGGACGCCTTGCTTGCTGCTCCCCTCCTCGTTGACCTGCCCGGATCCCACTATGTTGTGGGCCAGGTACACCTTGCATGTTGTCCTCGATCTCTCCTCTGTTCCCCCCTATATTCATTCCGCATTTGCTTGTAGTGCCGAGACCGTCGGTACCAGGCCCAGCACAGGCTCATTACGGGTGGTACGTGAGCACCGTCCTCGGGTCAACAACTGGGCGTCGTGGTACCAAACCGGGTATAGATGGCCGCAGTGATGGTGCCGAGCTTGAGTTAATTACCTGTGATAGCACCGAACCTGGAATAACCTATCGTCCAGGTTTCGGGCCTGAGACAGAACTCCGCGGCGGTCTCCAGACTTGAAAATAAATCGTCCCGAAGCCGCAGAACCGGAAATAAGCCGTCGTGGCGGCGGCGTACCTGAAATAAGTTGCCACAGTGTCCCCAATAAATTGTCTCCATGGCACCGAACCTGACACATGCCACCGTGAGGGTGCCGAATCCGGATAATAGTCTGCCGCAGCGGTGCCGGAGCTGAAAAAAAAATCACCGCCGAGCCTGAAAATAAATTACCACTAGGATCCCGAACCTGAAATACATCGTCATAGTGGCTCCAGACCTGAAGGTAATTCAGCACAGAGGTCCCGAACCTGAAAATAAGTCACCGTAGTGAAACAACTGTCACCGGGCCCATACCGAACYTGAAGCGCGTTGGAAACCGTAGGATGTAACCATTCYGTAACAACCCCCGTATCCGTACTGAACCAAACACCATACTGTCGACCCAAGGTAGCACCACCCCATGCTGTCCATGCTACTCCCGCTCTCAGAACATCCCAACTGCGGTAATGTTGTAATCAAGCAAACCAGGGAAAGCGACGCAGGGAGCCTCGACCATGGACAGTAGTGAAAACTCGTTTAAAATCCGGGGAAAATGATCAATYCGGGGTCAGAGTTGATGGCGGGTAATCAAGGCGAAATTAGGCCAATCTCCCAACAGTCATGGGTTTCCGTCCCTCTCATCGTTTTTAATTATTCTTCCCTTTCCTTAATTCTGTTGTCGGAAATAGTAAATTAACCGTAAGTTCTATAAAATTTAATTCCGAGAAAGTTTAAATAAATGGCCGAATTCCTTTTGTTTYTTTTCTCTTTTRCCATTTTTAATCTCTTTCTATGTTTTWAATTTAATTGTCGGAAAAATAAAATAACAAAGGTATTCCCCCTAGAATWAAATGTCGTGAAAAATAAAGAAATTAAGGGATATTATGTTTTTCCCTTCTCCCCWTCTGGTCTTAATCCCTCTTCCCATCTTTAATTACGGTACTAAAATAGACAAAAATTTGAGGCCCCATTTCGCCCCGGTCGTATGCTGCAAAAACGTTGCGGTGAGGCCAACTCCCTTGATGCCTCTCCGCGGCAGGCCAATCCGGGTCTAACCCTCTGAACAGTCGAAAATGTCAGTCCTTAGATATGCCGAGTGCGGCCACCCATCTCGTCATCTTTGAGGGTTACTCATAAGGCTCAGTGCGTCCAAAACCAGGAGTGCCCTGAGTTCCCCTAATTTTTGCTGGCTGGTCATACGAGACTACCATCAAAACACGGATTTGTTCCTCAGCCTAAGTCCCAAAACTGCAGATCTCAGGCGGCGCACTGCTTGTG